ACTTTCAGTAAAGTAATTCGCGCCAGATTTGTTAAAGTCATCTCAAGTATCTGTTTCTGCTTGTGCTAAGTGGTAACCACAAAAATGGATCTACGTTCTTGTAAACTACCGAAACCTAGTATAAAAGAGAAAAATCTTTTAGAGAGAAAAAGCAAGATCCACGCGAAATCATCATCAAGATTACTTTATTGGATTTGGATTTGAGAAAAGTTTAAGTGTCAGTATAAAACTTCCCCTTAAAATTGCTCAAATGATACCTCTACTTTAGAGAAATCAACAAGGGAAGTGGTGAAATAACAGTATCGGCAAAAAGTATTTTTAAAGATATTTTGATTGAATTACAAGAAATTTGGAAAAGAGCTCACTTACCAGTTAAGCCAGATAACAAGTGTATCGAGTATTTCATTGCAGTTTTTAATGAATGGCAAATTGTGTTGAAGAAGGAAAAGAAGTGCCCCGAAAAGAAACGAACCCAGTTTTTGCAATCGATGAATCAACTCTGTGACATATCAGCTGTTGACACATATTACACATATGCGTATCTCGACTTGCAACCTGGAAGGAGGACTGGGAGTTTACTGAACCAACGGAAGTATCGACAGGTAAGTTCATGCATTACTTCAATAATGTTGCTGTACTGTGTTTACTTAAGTTTATATTTTTCATTTTACGTTATTGTATTGTTTACCTCTAATTAGGTTGGTTCGATGATTGGTTGCGATGCAACTCATGCACAGCGAGAAAAGAACAAGTCGGATCGTCATGAACGCATTGAAAACAGAGTCAATGGTCACAGCATAGCTAAAAGAAGAAAAACAGCTCTAAGTGATCAAGAAGTAGAAGAAATCATCAAGAAGAATAAGGATGAGTTAAGCAGCTCAGAAGTTGAAGTTTTCACTCCCTTTCAGCAAAAAAGAAAAACCAGATCGTCAAACGTTTGTATTCAAATCGATCCTACAACATTAAAAAAATCATTCACTGATGTCTCCGACCGATTAGGCCTCAGCGTAAGAGATCAAATAGCTGTTGAAGCAAAAGTTGTTGAGGTTTGCGGTGCTTCGTTACATCATTTTCCAATCTCGCGATTGTCAGTTCACCGCAACCTTAAAGTAAAACGAGAAAAACAAGGTGCCGAAATAAAGGAGAAATACCAGGAGAAGCGCTCTCTTCATCCGTCCGGTCACTGGGATTCAAAACTTGTTTCGTCACTTACTGGTAAATAGGTGATTAATTTATTACTAGCTTACTGTTTTTAGTGTTTGGAAATGCAAATATTGAAAAATACTAAAATATTTAAAAACAAACATTTTTTGTATGTAGGAAAGAAAGAGGAGCATGTTGCTATTCTGGCTAGTGGTTAGGATGGATCATCAAACGATGCAAACAAAAAAGTTCTAGAAATCCCTATAATTGTCAATTCTACTGGTCACGCCCAGAAAGATGCCTTCATTAAGTGTTTTTCTTTCTGGAAACTGTTAGATAATTTGATTGTCTTAGCTTTTAACACCACTTCTAGTAACACTGGATGGAAAGCTGGATGTGCAGCACTCATTGAGAAAGAAGTAGGTCACGCGCTGTTGTGGACAGCTTGTCGCAATCATGTTTATGAACTACATATTCGTCACGTCTGGGATGCAGTTAATGGAAGTCATAACGTATCTATTGAGCCAATTTTGAAAATGCTTCAAGACATTTTGAATTCTATTTCTCCCGAGTCTACAGATATAAAAAAATTTGAGTGTCCGGAAGAGAAACATCCTATTCATTGCCAAGCAACACTCGTTCTGACTTGGGCTAATAAGTGCCTTGAGGAGAATATCTTTCCAAGGGCCGATTATCAAGAATTGATTGAACTGACTGTTCATTATCTTGGAGGTGACTTGCCAAAAGGTAAGATAGTTAACTTCAAAAAACCGGATGCGCATCATTGTGCAAGATTTATGCACAATGAGCTGTATATCTTGAAACTTGTCATGTTGGATCAACAGATTGCATTGCTCGATCCCGATCAACGACATAAGTTGAAAAGAATGGCTGATTTTATCGCTCTCTTTCAAGCAAAGGCTTTTTTACAAAGTCGCATCTCAGTTATTGCACCGAAAGTTGATTGTCAGTACATCGCCGATATGCAGTGGTACCGTGTTACAGACAAAATTGCTTCTGATTGCTTCTGATTGCTTCTGATTGCTTCTGAGCCTTTAGTCTTGCAACAGACACCTTTGGTAGTTAACTAAAGAGTTAGTTATCTTCGCGATGTTTGATGAGGACATTTTGCCTATTGAAAGATCTGCTATGGCATTGAAGTTGTTCGACACCCAAAGAAGTAAAGAAATGAAGCCTGGAAAACCGTCTATTCCCGAAAGTAAATGGCGACAACATCCCTTCCTTTGTCTCTTTAATTGGTTCACATTCCTTGCTGTTATTTAACTTAATCAAGATGACTGCAAACCAGGTAGATTGGATGCAACTGCCTGTTGAGCACTGGATGAAAATGAAAGATTACAACTATGTGAAAAATGTTGTTAAGTACTGTCAAGTTGTGAATGACTGTGCCAAGAGAGGTGTAAAACTTATGCAAGACTTTATAAATAAAGTCAAAGACCCCACGCAGCTTCAACTACTACTTCAAATAGTGGAGGATCTTCGCAAACGAGCTTCTCTTCAAGGATGAAAAGAAAATTTAATGAATGTTTGGTTATTTTTTTAAACAGTGTTATTTGTATCAATCTTACATTAACAGAAGTTAAAATACTTTAAACCACTGTACTATTTAAATCAGAGGGGGGACCCTTAAATCAATTTTATTTAACTCAAATTTTTTATAAAGTACAAATAAGATAGTAAATTATACTTTGTGAAAAGTTGAATATGTTACAAAATATATTTTTTAATTTTTTTGAACAAAAATACTAAAAAAAACACAGTAAAAAAGGGTTTGCTCAACTGTTTCTAAGTGGGGGACCCTTAAATTTTTATATTTTTGAAAAATACTTCGTAAATATTATTTTTTTCTTAGTCTAAACCTCAATTTAAAAGTTAGTGTGGTAATTCGAAAATTTTGCGGGAATGGGACACTCTAAGCACACACATATCATTAAGTGTAGCCTTCAAGTGTAAAGAAAACAATAGAACACTAATTTGCATTCCCACCCATTCATCTCACATTCTGCAGCCTCTAGATGTTGGTGTATTTTTGCCGTGTTAAAGATGTTTGACGTGATATTTTCAGAAAATTTTATGCTGAAAGTGGCTTTAGCGATTTTTCTAAAAAGAATTTTCCAAGTCTCTGTGCACATTTGTATAGAAGTAATAACGCTTACACTCGTACTCGAATTATTGCTGGTTTTGAAAACACTGAGCACACTTTCCATTAAATCAAGTCAACATTGACAAATCAAAATTACAAATTTGTCAAACTTTTAATAATGCCTTAATAAGTCCATCAACATTTACACAATCACCACACAGCCCAAGTTCTTTGCCTCGAACTGCTCAACAAACACAAACCTTAATTCCGCTTGCAAGTACAACTTCAAATTTAACTTCTCAAAAAGAATTAGCGACTCGTGTAAAAATCAGTCTTGAAAGAGCTCTCTTTCAGTCTTGAAAGAGCTTTATTCCAAAACAATCACAAGCATCCTGCACAAAAAGTCAAAAATGTAAGAACAGTGGCTGGTCAAGCTTTTACAATAGAAGCATGGTTAAACAAGTTAAGAGAAGAAGAAGACGCAAAGCTATTAAAACGAACATATGTTGAAATTGCAGAAGTAGAAATTCATACCAAGAAAACCAAAAAAAAGTACAAAAAGCGCCCAAAGTTTTTCAAAAATGAATCGCCAGAAATGCAAGTTTTATGGAAAACTTGTGAAAAATCTAGTTGCAGTTTGTGGCTTTGAGAACCTTGTCTCCCAAAAAGATATATAAAATGCGAAGAATTCATTTGCGCGAAAAGTTGCAGAACCTAGTTTATAAATTTTTTTTTTTTATTTTAAGCTCATGTTTTTTATTTATTTTTCCAGTTTTTTTTCTGTATTATTATTTGTATATTTTAACAATAAAATATTGAATTTATCTATATTTTTTTCATATAATTTGGAACTGTCCGCTTTTAGGGACAATTTTCCGAAAAGCGGACTCTTTTTAAAAAAATAAAATCTTATTTTCTATAGAAACTTGAAATTAATTTATTTATTTTACACTACAGAATTGCTTTAATAAACAACTATATTCCAGAAAAAAATCCTACAAATTCTCAATATTGAAAAAGTTATTCAGCTTTTTGAGAAGAGTGGTTTGCGGTACTTTTACTCTAACAAAGAACGTTTAATTAAAAAAATAAAAAGCATTTGTGGTTTTAGGGAAATCTCAATTTAAAGTTGACCAGATTTTTCCGTGTCCACCCGATAAATAAAATAATTTATCATATACTATATCCTTCCTTTTATATAAAATAATTAATCAGATACTATAGGCTTTCTATTATGTTATATAATTTATTTTACTTTTTATTTAACGTCCGTATTTCCACAATTGTGTGGTTTCTGTATAATTTTTAAATAAGATTGTGAAGTATTTTTTTATAACCAGATACATTTCCTGGTGTAAGGCTGTTTTTAGATCAGGACTGAGAGTTCATCTTGTGACACTATCAATAAATCTCTTATCAATCTTGAAAAAAAAAATTAAATATAACTAAACAAAAATAAATACGCAATCAAAAAAGAATACAAAAATATAGAAATTAAAAGATTAGTTTTTTAAATTTTTTTTTTTATATTACATTTGTTCAGAACTTTTTAATTGTACAATTTAATTTAATAAACAAGCGTTTTTAAAAACTTTAAATTTTTAACTTTTAAAAAACAATATTTTATTTGTAAAAACGTATAAAACAATATTATAACAATAATATAGGATATAAATTAAACTTCAAAAAAGAAATAAACATCGAAAAACATTCGTACTAAATGCGATAAATTTTTTAAGAAATTAAACTTTTATTGAATAAAAATTGAACTTATTTCAATAATTATTTCTTGTCAAACAACCAGGGGGTTGTTTCAAACAACCAGAGGTTTGTTTCAAATAACCAGGGGTTTGTGATCGTCTTGCGATTCGTCAACGTTTACCATATTAGGAATAACTAAGGTATTACTATAAAAATCTTTATGAGTTTCAATTTTTATTTGCTTTTCAGCTTTCATTTTATCTTCTTCAACATAGCGCGAGCATATTAGATAACATGCTGTACCAAAACAACACAAAAACGGCGTAATGTACAAACTGTATAGGAGTCCTTGTTGCGTCGCATTTGAATTGTTTGGGTGAGCTTTTGTGTACGCATCAGAAACCTATGAAAAAAATATTAAATTTAAAAAAAATTTAGATGCAAATATATATTTATTCTTAAAAAAACCCAGTGAACTTTTGCTGAAGGTTTGCTGGAAATCTTAAAGATCACTGGAAATTTACGGAGTTCGGTGGGTTTTATGCAAAATTTACTGGAAAAGATGGATTTCGCTGGAAGTTCGCTGGAATTCTAACGGAAACTTCACTGGATTTCCAGTGATCTAAACTTTGCTAAAAGTTTAATGGGTTTTTTGTTAAATAGTTTGCCGTATTTCCAGTTATCAAAAACGTTACTGGAAGTTTACATGAAATAATGCTTTTATTATTTGCATAATCTTAAGTTAACCTTGTTTTTTGTATCTGAAGTGTCCGTTATTATTATAAATTTTACATAAAATCCAAAACAAAACATTGGTATGCTGTTAAATCAATTTACTTTGCCTAATAAAGCGAATGCATGTTTATTTAAAATATAAAAGTTATTAAAAACAATAATAAATGTTTTATTATAAAATATTTTAAGTAGTATATTGTATTATATATTGTTGTATATATAGTATAAAAGTAGCTATAGTATAATACACTACTTATAATTAGATAATTAAATTATATATATATATATATATATATATATATATATATATATATATATATATATATATATATATATATATATATATATATATATATATATATATATATATATATATATATATATAAATACATATAAACAAATATAAATATATATACATATATAAATAATATATATATATATATATATATATATATATATATATATAAATACATATAAACAAATATAAATATATATACATATATAAATAATATATATATATATATAAATATATATATATATAAATATAAATACATATAAACAAATATAAATATATATACATATATAAATAATATATATATATATATATATATATATATATATATACACATATATATATATATACACACATATATATATATATATATATATATATATATATATATATATATATATACATATATATATATATATATATATATATATATATATACATATATATATATATATATATACATATATATATATATACATATATATATATATACATATATATATATATACATATATATATATATATATATATATATATATATATATATATATATATATATATATATATATATATATATATATATATAAAATATATATATAATATATATAATATATATATATATATATATATATATATATATATATATATATATATATATATATATATATATATATATATATACACATATACATATATATATATATATATATACATATATATACTAGACTTTCTTGGTAGCTCTAACCCATTTATTTTTTAAGTCTTTAATGTTTTTGGTTTCTTTTCATTGAAATTTAGCTTTCTTTTTACAAGAGCCCAATATCTTTCGATAGGACGAGTTCGGGACATTTTGGTGGATTGCATTGTTTTTCAACGAAATCTACTTTATGTTCTCTAAGCCAGTTTAAAGTTGTCCCTGAGTAGTGACATGATAACTAATTGTTTTGATAACAGAGTTGTTTAAATTTTGAATAACAGTAATACAATGACATTTTAAAACAATCAGCTATTTAAAATAATGAACGGTTTCCGTAAACACCACATCAGAAAACGCGCAGATTTTTTCTGGTACATGTCAGTAATGTTGTAATAGAACATGAAAATAATTTATACTACTATTATTATGGAAAACAATTCAACTCAAAGAATTTGCAAAAATTTATTTTATTATTCTATTTGCTTTAACTAACCTGTAATATCGTTTATATATTTTTATCTATTTCTAATAAAACCATACTTTATAAAAAATTTACTAGATCAAAAAATGTGAATAAAAAAAAATATATAATTATCTAAATTTAAGTTATACAAAAATAAAATTAGCAATTTGTTGATATATTCTAAAAAATCGTACTATGCATCTTTTTTTCAATAACAACATCAATAACGTAAAGAATACCTGGAAAAGAATTAAGGAAATCACAAACATCAAACTTATACTAAGTCTTTTAATCTCAAAATCAATGAAAATGTCATCTCAGGTCATACCAGCGTTGCTAATATATTTTATTTGAATATTCGCAAAAATATTTTTCGAATATTCAAGACAAACTACTTTAAAATACTGTTCCCTCTAAAAGATGAACTACTTAATAAATTCCCTCTAAATGCGTTTTTGGCTTTCTTAAAATACTTATTACTAATTCTATTTTCATTGATCCTGTGAATGAAAATAAGGTGGCAAATCTCATAAAAGGTACTCTTTGTAATAATAAAAGCCTCGGTCCCAATAGTCTGCCAAAATTTCTTCTAAAGCTAGTATCTCACATAATCTCCAAACCTCTATGTACTATGATGAATAATTCTTTCAAAAATGGTATTTTTTCAGAAGTTTTTAAGGTAGCCAAAGTAATTCCTATACACAAAATGGGTTCTT